CACTCGATCCTATAAAAAAAATATGGGTCAATACCACGAATGGCACGAACACATTTTTGTCCAATAAAAACTGTTACCCCAAATTACAATCCCTTAGCGAATAGTTGACTCAATATATGCAAAATTTATCATAATTTCAGTTTGTTTAAATAATAACAAAATGGAGATCAATTACAGATGTGCAAATATGACTGAATGGGTTAAACAATATGTAAATAAAGATGTTGATGCACTATTCTCGGAATATTATATTGTAGTTTGCATTTGATTCTTATCAATTTACTATCGGAGGTGTTATTACACGTGAACAATATTTGTAAAGGGAATTTACTAGTGAGGTTTACGTCTTGATTTTAAGTAATATTCACACATAAGTAATTTAAAAAAATCGGCCAAGTACGAGTCGGACTCGCGCACTGAGGGTCCGAACAAATCCTTAGGTATATGAGTTTAAAATTATTAAAAATATTTTTATTATATGATGAAACTAAAAATTTATGCTTTTCACAATTTTTCCTTTATCTGTGCTGTAATACGTTGCTTCGTACAAAATTTTAAGATTCTGAGTTCACGGGAAGTACCCTGTAGGTTTTGATTCCCTTGCGAATGTCGAAAATTTGCGGCATAAACGGCTGTATATTTTGATTGCGTTGGCTTAGAAGTTTGATTTTTTCACAGCTCCAAGGGACAGTAGACTTCAGTATTTGATATGACAGACAGACAGACGAGCAAAAAAGTGATACTATAAGAGTTCCGTTTTTTTCTTTTGAGGTTCGGAACCCTAAAAACGGTTCGGAATCGTGCTTTGTGGCATTCTGTGGCTTATTTATGTTCAGCTTTGGACTTGTGATGGGCTATAATAATGATGATGCTGACACGAAGCTTAATGTTAATATTTAGTTCCAGTTGTTATCTTATTTTGTCTTAAATAAAAAAGTTTACTACTGCGAAGAATTCCTGGAAAGAAGGACTCGATAACTGATTATTTCGTGGCACATCCTGTGATTCAAACCCGGGACCTTATTATTCACAGTCTCGCGTTAACCCACGAGGCATTTAATACTATATTCTGCTAGAATGAGCAGAAGGTTCCAGTTCTAGGACTAGAAGAGAATAGAATATTTTTTTATTGAATATCTATTACATAATACTTATTGAGTCATTTTTTTATTTACCACAGGTTCGGAAAATACCTCTGTCCTGGGAAGGACCAGCAAAAAACCCAGCGGGACTTTTTTTAAAACATATTTCACTTTTCAATAATTTTCTTTTTTTTTTGTTTGTGCGCAGCATGAACCAGCATGGTGGCGATCAACTCATTCCCAGGGTTTTTTTTTTCATTTATATATTCTTTGATATTATAATAACCCTTTTTCTAAAATTTTTCTTTAATAAAACATTTAAACTTATTTATTGACATATTTAGAAGACAGGAAATTAGAAATGAGGATATCCGCAGTAGAACCAGGCAATGGGCCGGCCATATAGCTCGAAGAACCGACAACCGATGGGGAATAAGGTTCTCGAGTGGCGGCCTCGTACCGGCGGATGAAATGTAGGGCGTTCCCCTAGATGGAAAGACCTGGTAAGTTGATGGATGGCAGGTGGCTCAAGACCGTGCTTTGTGGCATTCCTTGGGGGAGGCCAATGTTCAGCAGTGGACTTGTGAAGAGCTGTAATGCTAATGATGATGGTTGACAAATTTTGTTCATTTTCTGGGATTATGTTGTAAAATTATACATTGCGCCACAAATGAATTACTAATTCTGTGGAGTCTAGTAACTGGTGTTACAAGCTTATGTTTGTTCTTAGTGTTTAAAGTATGAAACTCTTTAATCTTATCTTTCTTTTTATTTTTTATGTACATACATTACATATTTATAAATATATTGCGATGCCATATTTTTTCTCTAAGGGACTCATTACAAGTTAAGTTATAAATCGCCCGTACGGCTCTCTTTTGCAAAACAAATATTGCTTCGATGTCAGTCGAATTACCCCACAACAACATTCCATAAGACATCACGCTATGAAAGTAACTAAAATAAACTAATCTAGCAGTCTCAAAGACTTCTAATCTTTCTTACAGCATATGCTGCAGAACTAAGTCTGCTTGCTAATTTAGATATAGAGCCCCCAGCCCCATTGAAACTTCACGTCAATAGACTCAACTCTTCCCCATTTAAAAGCACATTGGTATTTGAATGTTTAATTTTAGGTATTGCAAATTTTATACAATTTATCTTATTCCCGTTTAAGAGCAAATTGTTGGCGTTAAACCAATGTACTAATTTCGATAGAGCATTATTTACGTTGTCAAAATTAATTAACTGTCGTTTGAGTTTGAAAATTAAAGAGGTATCAGCAACAAATAAATATAGACTAAGCAAAGCAAAGTCATTAATATAGACTAAGAACAGGAGTGGGCCAAGAATTAAGCCCTGAGGAACGCCCATTACTACTGATCCGGAGAAACCTTTACCATTGATAACGACTTTTTGAGTTCTCTTATTTAAATATGAAATAATAAGTCTAAGCGCAATATTTTTGGCACCTGTGTGACTATGTTCAGCAGTGGACTTTAACAGACTCTAACGCTGACCTGTCCCCGGTGTATGTACTATCGAAAGCCAAGATATTTTTTATTATTTCCTATATTGTCGCCTCTTGCCCATGGGATGAAATAGGTTTGTTGGGTTCTCTTGTGCCGCCACCTCGCGGCTTAGGAATAAATGAAAATAGCAATATCATGAATAAATATTATTTTTTAATATTATCTTAATTTGGTCTTATTTATAACAGTAACAACATATTTACATGACATTTTGAATTTATATGTAAAATAATATTTATTTTGGCAAGCTATAAATAATAAAACATCACTTAAATTTCGATTCCTACATAATGAATCCTTTTATCACAAGTGTATTCTGTGTTCAGTCAATCATATCTTATACTATAGATGCGTAGTAACAAACGCCTAGAAATGCAATGAATCATCCAATTTACTAAAAATATACCTAAATAGTTCGAACATAGCAAGTTCTAGTACGTCGCAGCCGGGTGATTTAATATATCGTTAATTATATATCTAGGCAGGTTTTTATTGAGTTAGTTTCTTGTTTGTCTGTATGTCTGTCTGTCGTTACGGGTGGAATTTAGTCATTGATTTTAAGCTAACTTCCCGCTGCATTCGGATGACAATGCAAGAATAGGATAAAATATTGTGGTACATTACATTCCTTTAAAATCAACTTTTTTTTTAAATCGATGTAAATCTATTGAAAAGTAAACGATTTTGGTTTACAATTTACAAAAATTTTATATACGGGCAAGTGCTGTATAAAGTCAGAAACAGGAATAATTATAATTGTCTCAATAAAAAAAAATAGTACCTTGCAGACATTCCATAAAGAAACTGTGTAAAAGTCATACCAAATGAACATGCTTATTATTTTTAAAAAGCAAATGAAAACTAGAAAATTTATTTCTTTTTCTCTTATCTTAAAAACTTTACCTACACACTAGGATTTTCTCATGTATCGTGGCAGTTTACATATATCAATTTCACAAGGACAAACATCCAGATCCGGAAAAATTATCTGTCGGCCATACAAGTACTTGCGCTTGTATGGCCGACAGATAATTTCTCGGCGATGCAAATCATTATTTAGCCACTGCGCCACGTAGCCATAAATTTTATAAAATCGTTGTAAGTTTATCTTTTGAAAAAAATACGTATAATTCAAGCGCATACGCTCGCCGTGCCTAGCCTTTAATCCAATAATAATGACTCGTATAAAGTTAAACGGACATAAAGTCAGCCCTTCCAATCCGGTTGAATTAAAAGGCACCCAGTCGCTTTTTATTTCCTTTTGTCATTGAGATGCTAACAGTTCTCTCACACTATGGCAACAAAACCTTTTGATTTTGTCGATTGTAATGATGACTAGTGATAAATTTTACGAAAGAATAACATTCACCTATAAACTATCCAATTTTAAACATGATCTAGGAATTCGACTAAACTCAAGATCGATGGTGATTGCAAACTATAGCAATTTGGCAAGCTTTCTTTGGGGATTCAATAGAATTTCGGCGTTTTACTAAATGTCTTGTCGTCCAAATTAACGGCTGAATAGTAATAACGGCCGACACAAATGTGTATACGCCTAAAATTAAAAGGGGGTCGACGTGTTAGTAAATAAAGCGCTTTAGACACGGTTCATCTTTTTGTACGGTCCGCTAACGTTTTGTTTGAAGCACGGTTTAAAATAATTATGATTTAGTGTTCAGAACAATAACTGTTTTGTGTAAGCCATACACGTTACGGTTTCAAGAAAAGGTTTGCCTGTAGGGGTTAGCCTGCGCAAATAATGGGTTTCCGATTGCCTGTGCAGATTAAAAAAATTGCACAGGTCTATTTCAATACACGCTCCGGTATACGTGCTCATGTAAACCTGCATAGGAATACCTCTCCAGCAGATCGCAGCATGCATGGCCAGCGTTAGTAACTGTTCTGAGATTAAGTGTTTTAAGTTGACGCACATCAAGCCTCCTCACAGTCGTTTTATATTGTGCAACTTTGACGGCACGTACACCAAGATGGACCATGTTTAATGCTTTTTAGTCTTGACCCGTTGTTTATTCGCTACGTATTTGCCACTCCTTGCCGAATCCTTTTGCAAATGTGACGTTATAAATAGCAACGATCTTTAATGAACGCTCAACGCTTTGTTGTTTTTAGATATCAACGTTCTCATTGCAATTCATGTAAATATTTCTTAAGATCCAACTACTGAATTTCTCAAGTGCACAGTCCATTGAAATGTGTTCGTAAACTGTCGAAGTTATAAGCCGACTCGATGTGAGACCCGTTTCTAAATCTTCGCCGATGTTACTTCCGTCAAAGAGAGTGTATTGAATCACAAAGTGATGCGCTTTGAGCAATAAATAATCAGTCTTTCTAATATTTACTAGTTTTATTTATGATGAATGCCTCAACATGGATCCCCTGTTATTGTTTCGTACCTGAAATAAATAAATATAAAAAGGTTATTCGAATAATTACATAGATAAAGGAAGTGGATTCCGGTGGCTACGAAGCTCAGGACCGTATTTGGTAGCAGTCTATGGGAAAGGCTTATATACAGCAGTGGACTTGTGTTGGATTGTAGTGATAGTGATATTGATAGTAAAGGGATTTACTAGGTGGTACGACTCCTTATATGACTAGGAGTTTGTCTGGGTAGGTACCATCCTCTACTTACTTACTTTGTTCTCATCTGAAGGATATAGAGAGCCAGTATAATTACAGCCTGTGAGTCATCCCGTCTTAGTATACAGCGGTGATGACGCATCTATAACCTTCACATGATAGCGGTAAGAAATGTGGGAAATCGATGGATGCAAGTGGCTCCGAAGCTCAGGACCGTATTTGATAGCAGTATATGCGAGAGGCTTATGTACAGCAGTGGACTTGTGTTGGATTGTAGTGATAGTGATAAAAATAATGATAGTGATAGTGACAATAAAGGGCTTTACAAGGTGGTAGGACTCTTTATCTGCCTAGGAGTCTGTCTGGGTAGGTACCACCCTCTACTTACTTACTTACTTTGTTCTGATCTGAAGGATATAGAGAGTCAGTATAATTACAGCGTGTGAGCCATCTCGTCTTAGTATACAGAAGTGATGATGCATCCATAACCTTCACATGATAGTGGTAAAAGATGTGGGAAATCGATGGATGCATGTGGCTCCGAAACTCAGAACCGTATTTGGTAGCAGTCTATCGGAGAGGCTTATGTACAGCAGTAGACTTGTGTTGGATTTTAGTGATAGTAATAGTGATAAAGATAGTGATAGTGATGGGGATAGTGATAGTGATAATAAAGGGATTTACAAGGTGGTAGGACTCTTTATCTGCCTAGGAGTCTGGGTATGTACCACTCTCTACTTACTTAGTTACTTACTTTGCTCTGATCTGAAGGATATAGAGAGCCAGTATAGTTACAGCCTGTGAGCCATCCCGTCTTAGTATCTAGAGGTGATGACGCATCTGTAACTCTTTTTTTTTTAAATAGGTTGGATGTGTCTATGGGCTGTAGTATTCACTACACACACTACCATCGAATGGACTGTAAGTTCGTCTATTATTTAAATTTTATAAAAAAAGAGATGAGTACAGCAATAAGGGCTACCATTTACGTATATAACAATTCGTAGAAAATACCACCGCAATGTAGCAGCATAATATTACGTCACTTAAAAACGTAGTATTACAAACTATTAATTAATCTGTGGTATTTTTTTAAACGTGACATTAGTAAAACAGTATGTATGTATACGGTAAACTGGAAAGCTATCGTATACATAAAAACTTCAATAGCTTTTTTTCTTTTTTATTCCTTTAATAATGACCAACCAGCGAACTATGACGAACAAATTTTTCAATTTATTTCTTTTTTTAAATGTTACTAGAATTTTTCTGGTATCATGGAGGCGTTTTCTATATAAAAATTTACATGAATCATTGAACAAACATGCAGGTCCAAAGTAAATATTTGGGAGGTTATTTATTGCTTACATGGTTCAAACTCGTAGCGGCGCAACACCACAACCAACTTAGCTTAGCCACTTTGTTACCGAATCATTAAAAAAAACTAGTTTAAAAATGTAGTTCTTAGATTTGCCGAGATTCAGTTTCGATCCTCGCCGACACCAATGAAATTGTAAATTGCAATTTAAAGTGCTATATTACTACGTACTCGGTGGGGAAGAAAAAGAAAACATCGTTAGAAAACTTGTATGTCTGAGAAATAAAAAAAAATGAAAAAATATTAAGAAGACATGTGAAGTCCGTCAACACGCATTGGGGCAGCGCGGCGGACACTCCCTTTCCCCAATAACCTGTGCCAAGCAGTGGGACGTATATAGGCTGTAACTTTACTTTAATGTAGATTGTTAATGTTGTAAATATTACGTAATCAAACAATAATATTAATTTTAATCTGAAATTAAAAATGCTCAGTTATAATATTCACATTAATTCTTGTGATTAATAATTGTTTGTTATCAAAGATAACAAAAGATAATCCTTATTTCTTTGTAAAATAAATATGAATAGGTACCTAATTGATAAGACAATAGCACTTCTTATCAATTTGATACCTATAGTACTCACACACGTTAAGTAATATTTCCGCTCAAAAGCAAGCGACCGATAATAATTGAACATTTTCTATTGGACATTTATAAAGGTATAAATGACTACACACTCCACCTGATGATTAATGGATACTGTGGCCCATATATACTATATAAATTTATTATTAATATAATCATCTGCATCCATTTAATATCTTTTATACATTTTTCACCTGACTACTTTAGAAAGAGGGTAATGTTTTACGAGTGTGTGTATGTACGTCTATTTATTTAAGGCGCTCTGTTGTAGCCTATTCAATATGATGGTGGCTTGGTGAATTTTAATCTATGGCTTTTCATTATTCTTCTAAATTGTGAAAATGACAGGTAATAGGAAATTAAAGGTATATAATATTTGAATCTTTCTCTTTTCAGTACCTTTGAGCTTGTTTAATAAAACTGAAGTGTTAAACAAGCTTTCACTCCACTTAATCGTATGTACCATCCATCCAATCTATATATACCCGCAGCCAAATTCAAACAAAGAAAGAAGGAAATGGGTGGTAGAGCCATGCAGCAGCTATACGGCTTTGACGGATACGTGGCGCAGTGGCTTAGCAATGATTTGCAACGCTGGGGACCACGGGTTCGAATCCCGCACAGAACAAGTATTTGTATGGCCTACAAATAATTGTTCCGGGTCTGGATGTTTGTCCTTGTGCAATTTATGTTTGTAAACTGCCTTTACGAGTAAAGAAAAAAAATACTAATATTATAGTTGTAGCACGAATGGGTCAGCTCGATCAGGGAAGGACCACGCATTCAAGGAATACCAGCGTAAAATAACTGCTTAATACTGCTGTGTTTTGTATGGTTAGTGTAGAGAAGCGGAGACCCTTTTTACTAGAAAAGAGGCATTCCATCTTAGTCCTCACGGATTGCTTAGCAGAAAGGAGTGCCACCGCCTAGTAAAATGCATAAGCGTTTTCTCCGCCATTGTACCGGAAATAATTTAAAATTAAAAGTTTTGTACAACCTAATGCAATATAAATTATTATGAATAACTCAAAAACTGTTGGTCAGACCTTGATCAAATTATTATGGGACTACATGTAAAGTACCAGATTTCAAATAAAAAAGTCAAGAATCATCGAACACTGTTCACACAGAAAAAGTTATGAGAATAAATATAACACGCATAAAAAAAATAGAGTCGAATCGAGTACCTCTTCCTGTTTGAAATCTGTAGAAAAGAGCTTCAGTTCTCGTCATGAATATGAAACACGACATCATTATGATGCTACTTTTTGTATTTTGTGTGAACGTGGCCTTTTGCCGTTCGAGCCGATCTATTCGTGCAATTATTGTACAATGCAGCGTGACTCTACCACGAACGAATAATAGCTATTTAGCTATTGCTACAAAACAACTATAAGGCGAGTAGAACCTTACTTCAAAACAAATACCTATTATGTTATTTTTAGTTCAAAGAGGTAATTATTATTGCATAACTAGCTGATACCCGGTCGCTTCGCTGGGCGTACGGATGTAAAATATCAATTTTTTTTATCGGACTCCTAATAAGTCTTAGTCAATCAGTGGTATTTCACATATATATATATATATATATATATATATATATATATATATATATAAGCGAAATACTATAGCGAAATAAATAGTAAATGTATAGATGGTGATTTTCTCCTTATTGTATTATGTTATGGGGATTGTTGGTCTATAGTCTCGAAACCCGGGTCGAACCAAAATCAGGTAGTGGATTATTTTTGTCGAGAAATTTTCAGTAGCAGCCCGGAGTCAGGAAGGTGGCGGAGTTACACCTCCGGACCACGAAAAGCACGTAAAGCCGTTGATACTGCGTCTGATTTCTCTCTGGTTGTATCGGATCGGACTAGAGGGCGAGGGAATACAGAGTGCATCTTGTTTTTTATTATCATTATAAATATGTTATGTAAATAAAAGATTTAATATTCAACTAGTTATCTTAAATTATAGGTATCTATATAATTATAACGCGTTAAATTCGTGGCGCTCACAAACAAAGCACGAACAAATAACTAATTTTGTTTTAGTAGTCTTTCATTTTATCAAGCATCCTTTGCAGTATGGTGCGTAAGGAGGACTATCTCTGTGTATGAAAAAGTGTCCGTCGAAATGCGTTAAATTAGGGTGACGCTCCAATAGCAGCAGGGTAAATTACGAGTATAAAAACAGAAAGTTAATTTGATTATTTAAAAAAAAGTTTTATAACATTAACTACATAGCTACATTCATAACATGCCCTGTATCTAAGCTTGCGCCATTCTGGACAATTTTTGAACTGTTATTTACAGCTTACAGCTGGACACTTACATCTTGTTACATCTTGTCCCTCATATGAGATGGTCTTCTTATATCTACCCTTATTAAGCTTAGTAATGATTTGCAGCGCTAAGGGTCGCTGATTCGAATCCCACACGGAACAAGTATTTGTATGGCCTACAAAAACAATTGTTTCGGATCTGGATGTTTGTCCTTGTGAAAATTATTAAATTACTGCCACACCAGGATTTCTCCATGATATAGGAGAAATCCTGGTGTGGCGGTAACATATGTATCTTATGAAAATAGAAAAAAATGCCACCAGGATATCACAGATTAAGTTGACTATATTTTGAGACAAAACTATATAGATAAATAATATAAGGTGACGTTTATTATCGCAACAGTGGTATTATCAATAATAGGGGGATGAAGAGGAACTTTGAAATAGTTGTTTGAAATTGACATAAATCTCAATGTCGACTGATATTTAAACAAAACCCGCGGCTCAATAATTGAGTAGTTGACACCCTTCATAAATTACTATCTACATCGTATAACTT